CTGCTTTGACATATAGAAGTTTCAAAACTTCATCCAGTCAAACTACCTGCCTTGGTTTTGGAGTCTGGTATTATGATTAAGAAAATCTTGGCTACCCCAATAGTATCAATATATTCTTTTTTTTTTCTTTTATAGCTTAATTAATCTAGACTTTACTTTGGAGTTTAAAGTGAGATAAAATTCTTACTTTTTCCTAAAGTTAACCAGCTATCCTAACAATGTTTATTGACTAATCCTTTTTCCTCCATTGATTTGAAATGTGAATCTTATCATAGACTCAGCTATTATAGATAGTAGAGCCTAATTTGAGGCCTTTCATTTTGCTTGATTGATCTGTTTATCTACTCTGAGCCAGTTCCACACTGACTAAATTATTGCCATTTGATAAAGGTTTACACATCTGGTGGTGCTTGCTCCCCATTATTCTTTTTCCTTTTCAAAACTTTCTTGGTTATTCTTGTCCATTTCTTGTTCTAGATGATCTAAGATCCCTCTACTATCCAATCAGAACAGAAAATATAGTTGGAATTTCAATTAGACTTGCATTCAATTTATATATTAATTTAGAGACTATTGACATCTTTACAATATTGAATCTTTACACTGGGAATGTGGTTTAACTCTCCATTATTTCTATCCTACTTTTATGCCTCTAAGAAAGTTTTATAGTTTTCTTCTAATAGGTATTTTAAAAAATTATTTCTCAGTTTTATTTTTATTGCTATAGTGAATGGGATCTTAACATTTTATTTTACAAGAATGCTCCATTAACTTTTTTATATATTTATTTTGTGACCAGCCACCTTACCAAACTGTCCCATTAAATCTAATAGTTTTTCAGTTGATTCATTTGCTTTTAGTTACACAATTGCATTGCCTGAGAGTAATGATGATTTTTGTCCTTCCTTTCCAGTACTTATATCTTTTATTTATGGTTCCTACCATATATTAGCTACATCTTCCACAACAATGCCAAATAATAGTGGTGATAGCAGACATCTTTATCTTATTTCTGACTTTAATGTGTCTAGTTGGTTACCAGTAAGTAAAATGTTGATGTCTGAAGTTCATATTCACTACCATATTAAAATATTCTTCTGTTTCAACTTCTTATAAGTCAAATACAAATGCTGAATTTTTATAAAATGCCTTTTTAGCATTTATCAAGGCAATAATATGATCGTCTAAGGAAAAGCCTTCTACTTATTGTTGTGATGAGATTTCTTAACTCTATATCCTTCTTATATTCATCTATGCATTTCTACTTGGGCAAGGCAAATTATTACTTTTTATGCATTTTATTTTTTTAATTTTATAATGATTTCCTCTTGTTTGCATTTTAGTCAAGATCCTTACATTTATATTGATAAGTAGGATCAATCCGTAGTTTTCTTTCTTTTATGAAGTTACTATCTTGTCTGTTTATATCAAGATAATGTTATTGTCTTAAAATAAAGAGGAAAATATATCCTCTTTCTCCTTCTCCTGAAATGGAATAAAACATGAAATTTTTAAAGGATTTACTAAAAATATCATCCAAGCCCAGGGCCTTTGCTGAGGTCATAGTTTAAAAACTTCTAATTTTTCTCATCTTGATTATTGGTGTATTCAAGTTTTTCTATCTTTTCTGAGAACATTTTGTAAATTTGTATTTTTTTACAAACTTGTGAATTTTAATGATATTTTAAAGGTTATTACCATAACTATATACTACTCTCTTACTTAAATTTTTTCATCTGTATATGTTTTTATACCCACTTTCTCATTCCTTCTTCTGTATATTTGTGGGTTTGTATTTTACTTGTTCCCTTTCATTTGTGTTTGGATTCTATTTTCAAACCCCTCCTTCCTCTGGGACCCCTTTTCTCCCTTATCCAGGCTCTGGTAGGGTTCTCATGCTAAAGTCTTCTGTCTCTTCTCCCTCTTCACCAGGCACCCAGTGCTTCTGGGCAGAATTTATCGGCTCCAAATCTCTCACTGCAGAGTCTGACAGGCACCTGACAATATCCATAGTGATAAGTTTTTATTTTCTTACAAAAATATATTTGACTCGGGCGCATCCCTCAAGTTGCTGTCTGTTAACTGGTTAATTCATCCAATGAAGGTAGTGAGAGGGAATAAAAGAGCACACCACTGTAGTGGGATTTGGAAGCCCTGAGATAAGGCCTGACCTTATCTGTCCCCCCTAAGACCTGTCCCCAACTAGATGTCTGACCTGATCTTCAGACCTCAGTTTCCCCAGCTATAAAATAAGGTAGTCGGATTTCAAGATTTCCAGCCTATTTACCTTGAGCATTCTATGATTATCTATTATCCAATTACCCAAATAAAATATTTGTGATAGAGACTAGATTAATGTTATTCTGTCTATATAATGGTTCCATTTTCACAGCTATTCTAGGGATTTTTTTTTAATCCAAAGCAGTGAAGAGCATGAGAATTTCTAGCATTCTTAAAAATTATTCAGCAAAGAGTTCTTTATAAAATTCGTTGGGTCCTTCAGGATCAGATCTACTCTGTTTTAGCATCTTAATAAAATAACCAATAGAAACTTGAACAATTGTTGGAAAAACTAAAGTCATGACAAGAAATGAAAATCACCAAATTGCCAAGCAAAGTAGTATGATAACATGTAATAACACTAAAGGTAATAGCCCAACTCCAGCCTTATGTATTCATTTAATGTCATGGTTATAATTTCTCCCCATGGAGACCTTGATTTTCTTAATTCTATTCTTAAACTCTTGTCATAGACAATAGCACTATTTTCAGGTAACATCTGACATTGTAATTCTAGTTGGAAATACACCCATCTTCTAGGAACAATATCTCCTCCTAAGAAATGACCCCACTCTAGCTCCATACATTGGGTTCCTGCTATGAACCCATCTCTGCAACAGCAGTTCACTGACTGGTCCAGGAAGGAGAACACGACCAAAGCAAAACCAATTAATTTCTTCCCTTGATATTTGGACTTCAGACCAAGAGAGTAAAAGGACTTTTCCTGAGAGTGCTGAACTTACTGAACATGTAAGCAGTGAAGCTCATGAGCCACCAGAGACCAAGAGTTCTGTCACATGGAGATTGGTTCATAGTAAGACAGGAAAAAGAAACCCATAAGCAGAGAGAAGTGGGGCAGCTGGAGAAAGCAATGGGACAAAACTCCATAGAGGAATACATCTGAGGGAGATTTGCAAACTACAGGGCTGCAAGAGAGGCATCACTCTTAGACCAATGAAGATGACTGGCATGTTGCCATAAATACCAGAGCAACACAGCCTACATTAAAGGTGGTTAATGAGAATTAATCAGGAACAGTTGCTATTAGAACCTGGGAGCTCTTTATATTAAGTATCAGTGTTCAGACTGAAGAAAGTGACCATTCAAACACAGATCCATACAGAACGTAGAAGGGTGTGGTGACAATAGAGCAAAGTCAAGATGAAGAAAGAGGGAATGAACATAGACAATGCTACCCTCAGCTAATGGTTTACAGTAATTTCTTTGTGCAGGACACATGGTGAATACTTGGAGAGGAATGAATTGATTTTATATGATGTCATGTTAACATAATAATGAACTCAATGTAAGTTTTATTTCATAGTGTAGGTTTAGTTATTCACAATCAATCACTTTAATAATCTTCATAAAGACATGAATGAGTTAAACCAATAAGGTATAGTTATAGAGATCTGAATCTGAAAGATACCAAATGGCAATTCCAAACACATTCTGATGTCCAGAGTATGAAGAGCAGATAAACAGCCCTCCTACAAACAGCCATCCTATAAAAGGGTGGCTCACTCTTACCAAGATGTGCTCTGCGTCATACAGATCCCTGCCTCAGTAACTGCTCTCACTACTTGTGTGTTTCTAACTCCTTGCCCTGCCTCCTCCCCCTGGAGCAACTTTCCTTCTACCACCTACCATCCCACCTGGTGAAATTCTATCTATTTTTTAGATCCTACTCAAAATATCATCACTGTGATGCTTTCCTCTGTACCCCTTGCAGTCTGAGTAGGTCTGAATCTTGTAGTCTGCTGTGTCTGGGTAACTCCTACAGCATTGTCACAATTACGTGCTTACATGTCTGTCTTTCCCAACTATGGTGTAGTCATCTCTGTACTTCTTGAATCTAGCTTGCTGCCTGTACTAAAGGGTTATTGAATGAATAAATCCCTCAGTGGAATATTACTCAGCCATCAGAAAGGATGAGTACCTACCATTTACATCGACATGGATGGATTATGCTAAGTGACATAAGTCAATCAGAGAAAGACAATTATCATATGGTTTCACTCATATGTGGAATATAAGAAATAGCACAGAGGATCATAGGGGAAGGGAGGGAAAACTGAATGGGAAGAAATCAGAGAGGGAGACAAACTATGAGAGACTCTTGACTCTGGTAAACAAATTGAGGGTTGCCAAAGGGGAGGTGGGTGGGGGATAGGGTACCTGGGTGAGGGACATTAAAAAGGGCACGTGATGTAATGAGTACTGGGTGTTATATGCAACTAATGAATCATTGAACACTACATCAAAAACTAATGAGGTACTCTATGTTAGCTAATTGAATTTAAATTTTTTTAAAAAGTTGCATTAAAAAAAAGAATGAATAAGTCCCTAATTACTGTATGTCATAGTGGTTATAGTTTTTTAATTTGTGACCAAACAGACTTTTCTGCAATTTTATATGGACATGGCAATACCCCTGTATGTTCATTCTTGTTAGTCTGCTATCCGTGTGCTATGTTCCTCTGCTTACAACTTAAAAAAAAAAACAAAAAACAAAAATAACAAGCGTGTTCTTCTCTGCACAAAGGTATCTGTATCATACCCACACTCTAGGAGATTTAAAAAGGGAGGAAAGAGTTTAATATTTTTTCTAACTCAGTTTTGTAGATACACTTCTAAGATTCAGTTATGAAATTATGAAAGGCAAGGTTTGAGACAAAAATATGGAAGCTTTGCTAAATTGCATAGATTTCTGATCATACCCAGCTTCAGTTTCTTGGCCAATGCATCAATTTGAATTGTGGGATCAGATCCCATGGACAGGAAACATATCAAAGGTGTCCGTGTATCACTTTCTTCCCAAGTTTTCTCCAGATTTAAGATAACTGGTTCTGTGTACTTCTCCTCCAAAGAATCTGCAATATACTTTCTTGCTTGAAAAACAGTACGGTCTGGGCACCAAGACCTAGAAATGAATACAAGTTAGAGGGAAAAATTCAGTGTGTTCATTTTTTATTCTATTTAATTCTAAGCATGTAAAGAACATATTTAATTAGCAAAGGACAAAAAGGTAATCCTCCCTTTTGCAGGCCCTGCATTGAGAGTCTCTCTCTCCCTCGCCCTCTGCCCCTCCCCCACCTTGCTCCCATGTACATGCTCTCTCTCTCTAAACGTAAATAAATATTTTTAAAAAATCACATCACTGATTATCTCTAGTCACTGAAGCTATCACCTTCAGGTAAGCAATTCCTCATTCAGACCAATCCACAGGAGCACATTCATTCTTTGACAAATATTTATCATGTGCCGACGACACATCAGGCCCCACTTTAGGTGTGGGGACTCAGCAGGACACAAGGGGAGTTGTCCTCTACCAGCTCCTGAACACGATGGGGGCCAACCTGCTGCCCACTCGGAAGCTCTGCAGTCTTCAAGGGGAGAATTAAAGTGTCAAAGTTGGCAAAAGGAGGTTGATCAGCAAGCATGTATTCAATACCATCTGTGTAGCCCACACTGTATAGTAGGTTCTATACACAGCAACAGATCAAATAAATATCATTTGATATTTGATATTTTAGATCATAGACAAGCTCTATGGATTCTTATTTGCTAGTAGATTATATTATTTGTTTGACATGGGTTCAATTTTTAAATAATAGATAAAAGATAGACACATCTATTCCAATGAAAACAAGTAGCCCTGGGGTGGCTCAGTCAGTTAAGCTTCCGACTCTTGGTTTCGGCTCAGGTCATGATCTCAGGTCGTGAGGTAGAACCAACCCCACGTTAGGCTCCGTGCTTGGCATGGAGTCTGCTTGAGATTCTCTCTCCCTCTGCCCCTCCTGCTCATGCTCCCTCTCTCTCTGAAATAAATAAATCTTTAAAAAAAAATGACAAGTAGCCCTTTCATACTCTGTACATCATGAGGTCACCACTGCTGACCACTCTGATGACCCTCAAAGAGTGGACAACATCCAGGAAACAACTTGTTTTAAGAAATACAAGCTCAGGTATATAATATTAGGAAGACAGAAACTACTCCAAAATCATCCTACATCTTTTTGTTGTTCTTTTTGTGGTCCCATCTACTCCCCCACTCCACCCTCCTGCCTTGCCCATCAATCACACACACACACACACACACACACCCCTACCTTCCAATATAGAAGCCTTCTTTGAGCTCCTGGATATTTAGAAAACATGAAAAGTGAGAAGGAAAAGAAAAGAAAAGGAAGAATTTTCTTCCTTAACATCAATTTCAAAGTTTGTTTCTACTTTTAATAGCCAAAATAGCATTTATACATTTTAATAGGCAGTGGCTATCTTGGCTTTTTTCTCAGGTAAAATTGAATTTTAGCTTATAGACTAATTGCCTGGCAACTCTGTGAGGTCTAATTTTTTTTAAGAAGTAAATTCAACAGTAAATGATTCACTCAATGGTAAATGATGAAAAAAGGGAATATCAAAGGCATATTTTTCATGTTTTTTGCTCAAAGCATTATCATTAATACATTCCCTGCCACCATCCCCATTTTATTTGCTTGTCAAGGAACTAAGGAATTGCCATCCCAAATGGCAATTTGGAAGCACATACATTTATAATAACCACTGGGACACATTGAAGTAAACTCACAGAGGTAAGATCTGTAATTTGACAATATGATGAGTGATGTTTCTAGGTCTGATAATACCTATTCTCACCTGATAAGTAAAAGTTTGTGGCAGGTATCCAGTGAATCATTATATCCATCAGGGATAATTTCTTCCTCTGGAGCATCTTTATCAAACCAGCTTTTCCATCCCTTCTCATTACGAGATATCTAAAATAAATAAGCCAATTAGCAAGCCATAGGACTATATGCAATTGGAATATACTGAAGAGAATTCTGAGTAATCTTAGGGGGTCATTCTTTATAGGCAAACAGTTTTTCAAACATAACCACACAGTTGACTTTTTTTTTTTTTTTTCAGAATCAGTGACTTAAAGAACATGGACATTACTATTCCCTTTCAACTTTTCCATTGCTTTTCTATATTATTCACTGAAATTAAGACTGTGTATCATTTACACCAAATGATCAGGCAGGAAAAAACACAGACCAGGGGTTTACAACCTGCCAATATGATTGGCATTTTGGGCCAGGTGATTTTGGGGGAGCAGTCCTGTGCACTGTAGGATTGTTAGCAGCATCTCTGGCCTCTACTTACTAGATGCCAATAGCCCCCCTGTCACCAACTCATGACAATGAAAAATGTCTCCAGACATTGTCAAATGCTCTCTTGGTTGAAAATCACTGATATAGACCATTCTGATAACCAAACCTCTAAATGTTGACCTCTACTTAAAACAGTGATAGATGAAAAAAAATCTAAACTTTTATTTTCTTAGTGATTCCCTGCCTTGAGACCTTAAACCTAAGAATAAAAGAAGTCTCTATTGTATATATGAACATCTTTATCCATTCATCTGTTGAAGGGCATCTCGGCTCTTTCCACAGTTTGGCTATTGCGGACATTGCTGCTATGAACATTGGGGTGCATATGGCCCTTCTTTTCACTACCTCTGTATCTTTGGGGTAAATACCCAGTAGTGCAATGGAATATTACTCAGCCATCAGAAAGGATGAATACCTACCATTTGCATCAACATGGATGGAAATGGAGGGGATTATGCTAAGTGAAATAAGTCAAGCAGAGAAAGACAATTATCATATGGTTCCACTCATATGTGGATCATAAGGAATAGCATGGAGGACATTAGAAGGAAGGGGAAACTGAAGGTGGGGAAATCAGAGGGGGAGACGAACCATGAGAGACTATGGACTCTGGGAAACAAACTGAGGGTTCTAGAGGGGAGGGGGTTCGGGGGATGGGTTAGCCCGGTGATGGGTATTAAGGAGGGCACATTCTGCGTGGAGCACTGGGTGTTATATGCAAACAATGAATCATGGAACACTACATCAAAAACTAATGATGTACTCTATGGTCACTAATATAACATTAAAAAAATAAAAATAAAAAGTCTCTCCAAGAGCTAGTCTCGAATACCTGTTCTCTCAGAAGCATGGAAAGTAACGCCAGTTTTCAGACGCATTAAAAGGCACTCCCTGAAGCCCCAGTCATGACAAAACTAATTACAAAAACGAAAGATTTGTTGAGTCCGATGCTGCCCCTCAGCAACAAGCAGGCTGGATTATTGAGACAGTGTTTTGTAAGCATGTTTTCAAAGCCGTGGTCAGCATTAAAGGTGAAGAGCAAATGCAAATGGAGCAGGTCCTATGGGCCAGACCGAAGATTGTACTTTTACCTGCATTATCCTCGTTGTTCACAGAGGCCCTGGGAGGTTAAATAACTGCCCCCAAAGTCCACGCCATGCAAACAATTCATCATAGAGGATCCAGGCTGGGTGCAAACGAAGAGCGAAACCATTGCTCTGGACCTCAGTTACAGTTTTGTCCCCCTGGGGCACCAAGAGAAGGAGGAGGATTTCTGAAATGTTTCACAACTGTCTTCCTTCTCCTGCCGTGGCTCCCCCACGTTGACCTCGACCACTCCCAAAGAATCCGCCTGCCACACTTGGAGCCCCTCCCCCCACTGCTCCGGCACCTGTGCACTACCCACAGGGTCCCCTGCGGGCCTCCTCTGGCCCCGAGGCTAGAGAGGATGCCCAGGAAGTAAGAGGGTGTTGGTTCCCAGCTTCCTGGCCATGCATCTGCTCATTTTGACTCTACTCAATAGAGCCTCCAGGGCAAGTCGCATCTGCCAGGGGTAATGGGATCTCCTCTAGCCCCTTGCTGCTCACCTCCACTTCCCACTCCTTTTCCTGGCCCTGTTAGCAACACCACTTCCAGGGGCTGAACAGTTCAGCCTGAGATGTCAAAGCAGGCCAGCTGCTGTTGGAGGCTACTTTTGTTTCAGTTCCTGACACCCACCCTTTCAGCTGGGGACGGAGCCCCTTCTCCTTCTGCCCTTTTCTCCCACAGAGATGCCAAACCGATGGCCACCTGATGGCCGGTCCCAGGAACTTCTGCAACTTTCCTGAGAATGACCACTCCCCCTCACTTCCGGTCCATCCCATGGTGAGCTGGAGAGAAATAACTCCTAATGTCAGGGATAGAGCCGAAAGTCAGATTACGGGTCACCATTTAGTGGCTATGCAGCCTGGGGCAAGTACTTAACCTCTTTGAATCTCCATTTTCTCATCTATAGAGCGGGGCCAATAATACTTCTCCCTGGCTTGGTTATAGTTGTTGCAAAGTACTTATCCCGTTGTTAAGCAGTAGCAGCTACCAGATTCTACCCGGCAGGTAATTAAATTCTGATTAACAGAGGCAAACGATAATGCCTATCCCAGTATCAATACAACCCATCAGCAGAGGGCGCAAGTGTTGAGTGATTTTCCCAGTGGCGCTCTGAGGCCTCCCTTACCAGTCTCCTGCCAGACGCAGACCACCTTATTTCTTCCCAAAGTATTTGTCTGGGCTTGGAGGACTCATACAGAACAAAGCTTACCGTCCACCACAGACGGGAGCCAGGGACTCTGACCCAGCCACGGCTGAATACGTAAAGCATCTCTGTAATGGGGGTGCCTGGGTGGCTCAGTTGCTTAAGTGACTGCTTTCCGCTCAGGTCATGATTCTGGAGTCCCAGGATCAAGTCCCACATCTGGCTCCCTGCTCAGGGGGAGTCTGCTTCCCCTCTGACCCTACCCCATCTTGTGCTCTCTCTCTCACTCTCTCTCTCAAATAAATAAATAAAATCTAAAAAAAACCTCCGAAATGTTTCAGAAATGCTGCTGAACAGGCACACCTAGTATATACTGGGCAGGGTGTAGGTGTATGTGAAGGGGAGGGAATCATGTGATGACAAGGTGAGGTCTCTGCCAACTTGTAGTCGACCCATTGCCCCAGCTGTCCATCACCAGCAACCCCCAAAAAGCTGATTTTCGGCATCTGATGCTGGGAAACCGCAGGACTGCATCAGTGACAGGTGGCTATCACCAACAGGTGGCTATCACGCTGGGAAACCGCAGGCCTGCATTAGTGACAGGTGGCTATCACCAACACCAAACCTCAGAAATGAACAATTATCTTTATGCTGAGTTGCACAATTGTTGTCCAGTGAGAACTGAATCAACAACTAATCCCCAATAACACATTTACATTTTCAAATAAGAAAACCAACGGGTGAATCAGGACCTGTTTCACCATTATCCTTCACCCTTTTAGATTTTCACCAGGAAAATGATTGCTTTTTTGAAAGGACCCCAGCCTCTTAATTTGCTTCAAATTCAAACCTGCACAATTTACTTAATCAGAAGCAGCAGTAAAAATGTTAAAACATAGTCCACAATAAAATAGTCTACAATAAAAGGGTCCACCCACCGGTTCTGATTCTGACAGCTTGAGTTAAGCAGGCTTATAAATGACCCATGTGCACCACACAGAAGGAAAAGGCAGTCACCTGCACCTATGACAAGGCTCCTTCTGATATTCTTCATTGAAAATTGCTCACAGAGAGCTTAGTGCCCTAAAGCTACACTATTGCATTGAGCCTTTTGGGTGAAGGGATTTTCACCAGGAGGCCCCAATTAAAATGGCCCTGGGTATGTTTGGGTTTACAGATCTGGACTTTTTTCTCCAGCCCTCGTTACCTGGTTCATAATTTCTGCAAACTGTGGAAGTTTACTCAGCTCTACAAGATTCAGCCAGGTCATATCCAGGATCCAGCGAAACGGCTTGGGAGGGCAGGCTTTCAGATCCAGAGCTGCTCCCCCTGGGGAAAGGCATTGGTGGGAATCAGGTCAGCCTGCGCCTCATTTTTAGACATTTATTTTCCAAATAACAGAAGTGAGGTAACCATATTACAGAGAAAATGGGAAAATTGGAAAATATTCATGACAGAAAATGTGGCTATCTTTTTTAGGTCCATTTCCTTCAAGTCTTAGTGTTTTATTTTCTGATTTATACCATCTTATAAAATACAGATAGCAGCTCCTTGTCATTTCTCCCTGCACAGAATTTTTCTCAGGTGGTTGCAGTTGTTTGCGTTTTTACCATTTTTTTAAACAATCAATTTCATGAAACTTACAATTTTGATATCAATGAATAGCCTGATCTTTTCATGTGTGATTTTAAAAATCACTTCTTAGCCCTCACTCCTCCAGAAATTTGATACTCAATACTCTTTTTTCACCAGGTCAAAAAGATGGATAGATGAAGGGTGGGAGGGATATAATACTCTGTGGGTTTTTAAGGGAGTAACTCGTGTTCAGATCATTTATTCACTTATTTATTCAACAAATATTTATTGAGCACCCTCTGCATTATCACCATATTCCAGGCACTGGGGATAAAGCAGAGAAAACCACACAAGGCCTCTGCTCTTATGGAGTGTAGAGGGGAGCGTGAATTACAGCGTTGGATCACATTTTGAAGCAAATCACAAATCAAATGAGCATACCCAATGGGACAATCTTCCCCCAAGACACATAATTATACGTACAGCTTCAAAATTCCTCTATTGAATGTGTTCAGTAACGTTTTATCAGCTGTTGTTTAATTCAGATGTGTGCAAAACAGTGATTCTGAACTTCTAAATCCTATAATCCTCCTGAAGAACTCATCAAATGCCACCACTTCACATATCAACCCTTGGGCAAAAGAGGGGCCGGAGGGGACTGCAGCAGGGGCTGCTCTCCCTCTAGCACCTTCCTGAGAAGGTGAATGAGCTGAAGTGTTCTTGTAAATCCCCTAGCGCCACCTCTGGGTCAGTGGCTCTGAGCGTCACCACACCTTTAGAACAGGTAAACCTTCCTCTTGACGCCCCGCCCTTTGCTACCTCGGCGGGGGGGGGGGGGGGGGGGGGGGGGGGGGGGGGGAGAGAAAGCCATCCTCTTGCACCATTTCTGCCAGTACCGAGTTTACTGAAGGAGAAGCCACCACTGGAGAGCATCATCTGTGACTCAAGGGACTCTGCTTCTCTAACTTAGAGACAAATGCATTTTCTTCTGGGTTCTTTCCAAAAGAAATGTTTTCATGTGACCATAAGCCTCAAAGACATCAGGAGAAGACATTAAAGCCACAACGAGTATTTTGAAACATCCTGGTGTCCCTCCACGAACCCAGAACAATCACGGCCCACCCTCCTCCCCAAGATATTCTTGCTTTGCCACTTGCTAGCTGCCTAAACACAAAGAACTTAATTTTTCTCCATTTCCTCTTCTGTCAAATGGGTGTAATAACAGATTCTGCCAGATTAGTCGTTGTGAAGATTCAACAAATTCATGTATGTAGGAAGCTCAGAACAGTCTTGGCCCATAGTGAGAGCTATGTAATCATTAGCTGTTATTTTGACATGAATTCTGTTTTGGAAGGCTCAGGTCCAATCCAATCTGGAAGGCAAGAGCAGACCCCCTAATGTGTCTTTCTGTCCATGGTTGATGACAAAAGAAAGATGATATCTTTCTAAAATAACCAGGCAGGGAAAATAGTTCTATCAATTACTCTATAACACAGGATTGTCCCTGGTATCTATTTCATTTTTCAAAGTGTTCTGACATTCTCAGTTGAAGAAGAAAGTCAAAGGCACCTTCCAAATACTGCAGAAAACAAGTAGGAATTGACACAAAGGGACAGTCATTCCTAGGAAATCAAATATTTCTGCTATGATAAATAAGTCTTTCTTCTTTCCCTCTTAAGTACTGAGTTAAAAATGATAAAAAAAAAAAATCAAAGATCTAAGGGCTATATTTGTTAACTTTGTAAAAAAACACTGAAAACAATCATAAATCATTTTTTATAAAAATAATCTGGTTAAAAAGTAAGCCAGTTCAAAACTAATACAAACCATAAAATAAACCAATTTTGTTTTGGTTTTTGTTTTTCAAAAAAAAAAAAAAACCTCTTTCACTGCTGAGCTGATTGTACTTCTGTAGACAACCTATCATACAATCCCAAATTAATCTTTTTAAAGCACTGCTCTGTTCATGCTACTTCCCTGCTCATAAAACATTCGATGGCTTCCTATCACCAACTGAATTAAATCCAAACTCTTCTCACTGGCTCTCCTGTGCAATCCGACTCTCCCTGACGCTCCAGCTTTATGAAGTGGGGTCACAGATGTGCCCCTCACCACGACCCAGGTGCACAGAATTTGTGCTTTTTCTGTGACCACTCCCATCCTCCTTACAAATTCCCTCCTCACTGTGTTTCTCGGTCTCCTCTGATTTACATCCCTTTTCTCAAAGAATCCAGTTTCCTTCAGGTAAGGGCTCTGGTTTGGCTGGGTGGGGGAGGGGACAGGCGCGTGGGATGGCACTGCGTCCTAATGGGGAGGATGCCTCAGATCCGCATGCTGCCCTCCAATCTCTGCCACAGGCTGGGATCCCTGTACTTCGTCCTTGGCGCTGTGACGAATCCTGTCTGACCTACAGGGGCGTCGGGCTGCTGTCCACAGAGACTGGTCCTTTGTGTCCTGGAATAAAGTTCCCCGGGGCCTGCAGCTTCTTGGTTTGAACCCAGGCCTCTGCTGCGCACCAGCCCTGTCAACATGTCCACGCCCACACTTCTGCTTGCCAAATGTCAGTCTTAGCCTTTTAACTGCTCCCCTCCATCAGTGCTGCCTGGGGGCTGCATGTGGGATCTGGCACCAGGCAGAATGCAGGGGCACCTCCCATCTGGATGTTTCTCGAGCATCTTTCTGTACCCACCCAAGGTTCAGCCTCAGGAGACTGGGAAGAAACAAGGATCTTCGTACCTGACCTCCGTCTACCTCCGATTCTCTTGTCCTTCCCACAACCCGTTGTGGCCCAAAGTGCCAGGTTTCCTCCTTCTTTCTAAATCATAGCTATCTCCTTCTCAGGGGCCATGTTGGCAGATGGGACTCAGGAAGCAAAGCCGGCTCACGGATCAGGAAAAATCCAAAGTACACCTCCCATCCCACTTGTATGCCACAGTTAGAAGGCCTTCCTACATCTGAGGCCCATTTTGCTCCTGCTTCTGCCTAGATTCCCACAGGCTTCGGTGTCCCTCCTCCCCATGGCCCAGTGCCCCAGACACTGAGGATGTGGCCCCAAGTCTAAGCGAGGGCTTTAAGGTGACTGTAAGGAGTCAAAGGAGCTTTCTGGTTTGGTAAATTTGGGCTCACTTTATTTAAATGTCACAGAGGCCGAAACCTGTACGCTCAGACCCTCTGCACAGCCTGCCCGCCTCTCCCCGGTGGTCCTTATCACTTCCCCTCTGGGCCCCACAGCCCCTTGTACATGGAGGGAGCGGGTGATGGTCTCTGAGCTCACACAGCTGGTCAGTGGCAGAGCCTGGCCCCTGGCCCCGCTCCTTAGTCCAGCCCACAGTTTACTGTACCATGCTGCCTTATGCTACACTTTAAGACATCAACTTCTCCAGGTGAACTGGGCCTGAGAAAAACTATGAACTCTATGACATGCTCCAGTTTCCTTTGAACTACAAGACATGAAAAATCAAGAAATTTTAGCCGTTCTGCAAAATTGTTTGCAAAGTTTCTACAGCAGTCATCTAACCTGAAGCCGAGGAAGAAATTCACTAAAGTAGAGAAAGAAGATGCTAGAGTAATAAGTTACAGTTTACTGCCTGTTTATTATAAATAATAATAAAGAGGATGTCGTGGAGAAAAGTGTACTGTGTATTGTGTTCTATCCCCCTGTCGTATGAATTTAGGAATACTCTACATTTTCTTCCTACATGATCTCTTTCATTCCCATGGCTTTGGTGGTTATTTCTATGCCCTATCTCTGCAGCTGTCTGACTTCTTCTAAACTGTCTGGCCTACCCTTTCTAACTGTCTGCTGGGTATCTCAAATGCAACATGTGTGTTTAGTCACCAGAGCTGTTCAGAAACATTCAATTTCCCCCTCTTCCATGCACATGGGAGAAGCACATGTCCCTGCTCTCTCTGAGGTTAGTGGTGCGGCTGTGTGTCTTGCTTTGCCTAATGAAAGATGAGCATTTAAGTAACATGCGTCACTTGCGGGGTAACTTTTAAGAGCCGGCACATAATTTGTCTTATCCCATTCCTCTGCCGTAGTAATTTTAGAAGCAATTCCTGGGTGACCATGACCTTAACCAGGCATGTTGGAGAGAGAATAAATGAGAATATACCCCTATTTTGTCAAGCCATTGAAAGTTTGGGATTGTTTTTATGGCCATGAAACCTGGCCTGTTCTGACTGAAACTAGGTCCCCAGAGCACATTCACTACCCCCCCACCCTGACCATTCTCAAACTCGTTCCGCTTTCAACCAACTAGACCAGAAATCTTCAACTCATTTCTGACCAAGATGCCATTTTACTTCCATGACCTCTTCTTTATATTCCCAAGGTTGACCTTTTCCCTATGGCTGGGAAGATTATAATAAACTCCCTTGAACCTCTTTGCTATAATCCTATGCATGTCTGCCAGAGTCATCTTCCTAAAAGATGATAAGAGGTTCCTGAGGGACCACATCACCACCTCACACAACTCCTTGTCCCTCACCAGACCAAGAAAATCTTTCCTCGAGGCATCAAGACTCACAACTGACATGCGCCCTTCATTCATTCCTTTTCTGATGCTGTTCTGTTTCACCCTGGAATGTCTCCTTCACTTCTACCCATCCTTCAGGGTCCTTTTAAAATGCCACTTTCTTCTTTTGGGGGTGAGGGCAGCCAGAATATGATTTATTAAACTTTACAAAAGGAGCAAAAAACATAAGAGTTACATTAAAACATTTTTCCCATGGATCAAATAATCTGAAAAATTCATGGCTTAACCCGCAACAGTATATTTTCCAAAGAGCTCTTACTGGACTCACCAACCACAAGTCTCTCCTTCCTTTTAGACATTAAGACTTTGTTTTTAGCTCTCTCCTAACATTTAGAGTATTCTTCCTTGTTTTACAATAATTTTTAAAATCATCTCTATTTCCATTGTGAGACTGTTTTCTTTGAAAGCAATGTCTGGTTGATCCTTCTATACCAACATTAGTATGGTGGGTTTGCAGAGTATATGCTCAATAAATACTTGTTTAACTGAATTGAATGAAAATACCACTCTTTTATCTCCTTAATGATACTTTTAACATGGAGATGAGCATTGAATAGGAATAACTTCCAATATGAAATACAAGTGTGCCTTTTTCTGTCTTAAAAGTCATGATACTCCCTTGCTCAAGGCATTGCTCTCTTGCGATAGAAAGCTCATCACCCACCTCACTTTTCTTCCCTTCGGCATTCAGGTTTCCTAACCACAGGCAACAATGACCAAACTTCACGTAATGATATAACTAAGGAAAACATGGAGTGAACACAGGCCTGAAATAAATCATCTTGAGTAACCAGAGCAAAACGAATGGGAATCAGAAAAAAAAACAAGGTCCAAAGAAATTCCCTTTCACGAGAACATGATTTCCCCCATTGTATCATAAAAATGGGTCTCCAGCATGTCAAAGAGCATATCAGAAGCAATCTCCTTTACATACCACATCCATATCCCATGCCCTTCACCTTTAACGAGAGCCTGAAACTCTCTGTGCTTCACTGTTCCTCTCTGAAGATCAATCTTCAAGGTCATGAGGAGTACAAAGAGGAATTTGTGGTTTTCATACAGGCCTCTCACAGAGTATGTAAAAACTTCATATGTCAGATACTCAATAATATTTGTAATTCTCTTTTGAGGTAGCGGAGACTTCTCAGATCTGCAATACATTTTAAAAATTAAGGAAGTCAACAGCCATTGCTAAGACAGTAGGAATACAAACAAAAATTTTAAGTGACTCCGCACCTGGCCATGGACTGGTCAAATAACTTTAAGAACTGGGCGAGCGAGGTCTGGTACATGATGTTGACCATGCTCATCTCTGTGATGAGAAAGTAGAGGATGCTTCCGCGGGTGGCCGCAGGCCGGAACTCCTCCTGAGCTGTGTTAATTTTGATCTCCGTCTCTGCGGCCACATGCAGCTTTTCACTTACTTCAGCTGCTGTCTGCTTGGTGATTCGGAGAACACCGATGAGAGATTCGTCGTCTACCAAGGAACCTAAAAGCCAAACAGGAAAACCATAGAAGACGAGAAGGGGAAGCCACAAAGAGAGAGGCATTCCTTCTGAAATTGACCTGTTCATTTTCATGTTTATTTCTTCAAAGCCTGCAGGATGAAGGTCAGGTATTAACACACTGAGGCTTCTGGCCCAACTGTCATCTGATGCCTGAATCCTTCCAAACATTCCTGCAGACAGGTTATCCCTGACGCTGCCTATAAATCTGCAAAAGGGGATTCCCAAGGCAGCCCACATGACTGGTCTTCAAATGTCTGAAGACAAAATCTGGCTCCCTCCACCCCCAGTGGTTTACCACTGCAAACTGCAATTCACCTCTCAGGAACGAGACCTTGATCCAGCATACTCTAAGCTGGATCAGGGGAAGAGCCCTCAGCGATCTTTGCTAATATTAAGATGTCCAGGTGTATCCAAATGGCTGGGAGAAGTCACTGGACCAGAGGACAGACAACTTCACAAACACAGGCAGTGGAATCAAGGCAGATAAAAGGACTTTTCCCTGAGGTCACGATCAAGGCAGTGCAGGGCAATGGTGTGAGAATAACATATCATGTACTTCTGGGAGGTTAAGGTTTTTGTTTATCCAAGGAGTAAATTGCTGTTGGGAAGCATTCATTATAAGGCTATAATAAATGGTAGGATTTAGGCTATGGTAATTTGCCTACTGCAGAAAAATACAGTGTTTGTTGACTTTAGTGTCTTTGGATAGGATGTTTCTTATTTATTTAGAAAGACTACATCCCCAAATCAGGGTGTGGCATGAGGATCTCACTGCCCTAAGGAGAACCCACCCCTGATTTCTAAGTAGGAGGTCAAGGCAAGTGGAGAGTGAGTTTGGGCCTTGGGTGCCCAAGTGCCTCTGACACAGATTACACACATCATCACCCATTGTGGTAAGTTCATTTCAATGCCAAATGAAAGAGTTGATCTTAAAAAAAAAAAAAAAAAATTAGATCGAGCACATTAGTTTCCTTTGGGCAAGCAAATTAGCCTATTATGAGTTACCTAGCTCTATTGGGAGCCCTTATTTTTCTTAGCAGAGAGCAATTATATCTAGAAAACTGTGTTCTTCTCAAATGCTCAGACTCTGTTTGCTAATTCAAAAATCAGATTCTCTGCAGTCCTTCTTTAAACATCTAGATGGAAATTGCCTTGCTTGTGTTTGCACTGATAACTCAACTGTTTCCTAACATCTATAATCATGAGGTGCTGAAAAGAGGGCCCAAGAAATCCTTACTCGGGACCCACTGTTCGGTTACCTGTTAATAACACAGTACCTTTTGTGGCGCTTAACTTGTAGAGAAGATTGTCTTCAAGTTCCTTCATCTTCCGTTTGTTGAAAGTCACATCCTCCAAAAGTTTAACTCTCTCAGACTCTAATTCCTATCATTAAGAAACAAGAAATAGAGGTGCCTGGATGGCTCAGTCAGTTAAGCGTCTGTCTTCACCTCAGGTCATGATTCCAGGGTCCTGGGATCGAGCCCCGCATTGGGCTCCCCACTCAGTGGGCAGCCTGCTTCTCCCTCTCCTCCCCTGCTCGTTCTCTCTCTCTCAAATAAACAAAATATTTTTTTTAAAGACAGATTAAAAAAAAGAAACAAGAAATAACAGCAGAATTGTAATCACCAGTCATTATAGCAAATCCAATTTACTTAGTGCTTCTTATTAAATTTCAGGGTTTTTTTTTAAGATTTTATTTATTTGAGAGAGAGAGGGCAGAAGCAGGGGGAGCAGCAGACTGAGGCACCCAGGTGCCCCCAATTTTTAAAAGTTTAAACTAAAGTGCTTTTGGAATGACTTTACTTTTGTTCTTTTGGACACTTTTTAAGAAATATGCCTGCTAGTGAGCCTGGGTGGCTCAGTCGTTGGGCATCTGCCTTCCGCTCAGGTCATGATCCCTGGGTCCTGGGATCAAGCCCTGCATCGGGCTCCCTGCTCCGCGGGAAGCCTGCTTCTCCCTCTCCCACTCCCCCTGCTTGTGTTCCCTCTCTTGCTGTCTCTCTCTCTGTCAAATAAATAAATAAAAAATCTTAAAAAAAAAAGAAAAGAAAAGAAATTATGCCCGCTAGCATTGTTTCCACAGTGCTTACGCTGGCATGCATGAGATTCCCCTGCTAAAGGAATTTTGTCTGATTATCCCCCATGCTCTCTTCCTGGCTCTAAGTTTATTTAAATTACAGTGTCCCATTCTCTTGGCTCTGTTCCCACACTGCCTCTGTGTGAAATGCTAACTTTATTGGCAATCAGAAGTGGTAGAAGCAGAGACATAATATTAAAACACCAAGAGGCCACCCAAATCAAATGTGAGCTCTTGGTTTGGGATCTGCCTGTAGGAACACAGACCAGGTATCTGGTCTGACAGAGCCAGCTGCCAGTACAAACCCATTTTCCATTGTTTTACATCTCCTTCTACCAGAGGGGCTAAACTGGATGTTTGGAAGGCATATTTTTTTCCTACAAAAATAATGTCTTTTTCAAATTATATTCTGAAAAAATTTTAAACTTCAGAAAAGTTGCAAGACTGATACAATAACTCTCATAAATGCTTTCTTTGCCCAGATTCACCAGATACCATTTTGCTTTATCACTCTCTCTCTCTCTCTCTCTCTATATATATATAATATTTATTATCATCATTGTTCTTCTTATTATTGGTGAATGATTTGCTGAGGTCATGATCCTTTACCCCTAAAAACTTTAGCAAATCTCCTAAGAACCAGGACATTCTCTTACACAAGCATGGTGTAATTTTCAAAATTAAGGAAATTTAACAAGGATATAAGAATACTCTTGCTACATGTAAATTGAAGTTGTTTCAATAGCATTTTTATAGCATTTTTTTCTGGTCTTCTACAGAATCACACACTAAGAATTATGTTAAAAGGAGGTGTTTTGAAACTACCTATGTGAGAATGTTTCTTGAAAAACCACTTCAGAAATTCCACCGCTTTCTACAAGTCTTAAACCAATTTGTGGGGCTCTGAAGCCATGGCATGGTGTTCATCTCTACACCTGCCACAGCTTGCGTCAGAATCTGTGTGTCAATCATGTCCCTCCAATGAGATTCTGTGAAGCTAGAGGGCAGGCACTTGTCCCATTCACGTTTGCATTCTTGACAGCACTTACCTTGAGGTGTTGCAGGGAAGGGACTCAACCCAAGAAATATGTGTTAAATTGAAGTGTGCCGAATTGAGTTCAACAGCTTTATTTTACATCTGGGGAAACTGAGGACCCAGAAATATTAACTTTGAATCCCATCCCAACATGATCCCTATGGCTAGCTACTGGCAAAGACAGGCTCATACTCTTGTTCTCCAACTCCAAGACCAGTGGCATGATTGCCAGTGTCCTAGGTTTGCTGTGTTTGATGGGGGTAGCAATGAAGGTCATGGCTGCATTTGCGGGGGAGTACCTAATGAGCTGTTTCCATTAAGGTGGTCACCTCTGGGTGGCAGTATAGGAATATGTGGACAAAATGAAATCACATGAGCTTCCTTTTCAGTTTGATCTGGCAAAACAAGCATCATGGTACAGTGGACCCTTGTGGGTTCTACAGCACGATCTGTAAGGCTTATCTAGGAGGCCTGACGGGGTGAAAAGTCAGAGTGCTTTTAGAGTGCTTTTATCACCTATTCTCTCTGGTTTCTGTCTGTTCTTCCGTAAAATGAGGGTGTAAGAGCAGGACAGTAAAGAGGGTTAAACATCATGGTCAGGATGTCCTCTTACAGATTAAGTGTGTGTTTTGGCTTTTTCCAGTAAGGTTGGTGTAAGCATTTCAGCACATCCCTTGAAGAGGAAGCTGAGGCCTAGAAGAGTGGGTGTGGGCCCTCTGAGGACACAGGGTGTCGCCTGCCTTAGATAGTGGAGGGGCCTGCCTTAGGGAAGTTGGTGCAGCCTGCATGCAGCACCTAGACCAGTGAGGAATCAGATCAGACTACCAAGGAAGGACAAATTTTCAACAGTTGGCACCATGTGGCTCCAAGAGGTGATGAGCAATGAACTGAAGGGCCCATGTTCTCTCTGCCTGGCTGTGGAAGTGGCATGGTTCCCTTACTGGACTGCAGAAGCCCTGGGCTGTCTGTTGGAAGCAAAGATCAAACAGCTCGTGAGAGCGGATGCTGGGACTGTGCCCCCTTGGCTCAGCTCTGCCAGACTGGCTGCCTTTAAGGGCCGGCCCCTTAACCATCCGGCTAACCAGGTAGGGCTTCGCCTCTCCTTTTACTGAGTCTCTCTGTTTCTCTGGTGCGAGGATCATTTCTCTTTCCCTCTTCCAACGTCTTTCCTGTGTTCATGGCATCTACTCCTATCTCTTGTCTTTCTCTTTTCCTTGTCCGGTCTTCTATTGCCAATCTTTCCCTCCACCCTCCCACGTGAAGCCTCTTTGGTCTTATTATTGCTAACCTTGCCCTTTCCTTGAACCTTCAATACTCTTATTCTAGGTAAGCAAATATAATCTTTCTCTGATTTTACGCAAATGTTTTCCATATGCCAATAAGTATAATTACATTTTATGCATAACGTTAAATGTTTTCTGAGATTTATCTTAAAAATTAGTTTCAACTTGTATCAGTCTCCTAAAATCTTCCAGTTTTAAGTTGTTCTTTATTAGAACCTTCAATCATACTTAATTTCTCTGCCTTAATGCAAATTTTATTCAATTAAAATTAAAGTTAGGCTCTCTGTATCATTAGAGTACTAGACTGTAGTAGTTGAAACTACCCCAGTGGTAATACACTCATTCAGAGCAATTTCTTTTTCTCCAGGATCATTATTTTAGTGAATTTTTCAGGTACATCAAAGAGCATCCATCCATAGGACTATAGATTCAAAGGTCAACATACTCCAAGGTTTAAAGACGGAAGTAGAAAAAACAGTGTGAGTGGTGTGCGTGTGTGTGTGTGTGTGTGTGCATGTGTGTGTATGCATGTGCACACATTTGGGGTTGGGGGAAAGCTGAGTTAGTTACATGATTTCTTGACAGGATTTGACAGGAGACAGCTAAACTAATATATATGTTAACAAAGGTAAATAAAAATTTGCTTTCTTTTTCTTTCCCAAATACTTAACAATTTCATAATATCTCTTAAGCATTTATTATAATTTATTAGAAGTAGTCCTTTACCTTGAGAAATTATTACCTGTTTCTCAGTTAAAATCACTCTCCTTAATAACTGATTCTCAAGTCCTTTCATAGTGACGGTAAAATCAATGACTGACGTTTTAGCATTGATCTCAGGGGTAAAGGCAGGGTTGGGTAACTTCGTAGTAATATAAAGTTTAAATGTATCCATGATATCACATTCTTTATCACCGACTTTCACCTACATCAATTCAAATATAAAATTAAAAACAGCTTAAGCAGCAGGACAAGGAATTTGGGGTTAACTTAGGAAAGAATTTACCAGAGGTCAGCACTGTGAAACTTGAATGAATTGCAAAGGAAAAAGTTCTAAGACTTTAATCACTGATCTTAAATAATTCAGATTTGTGGTCCTGCCAGAAGACATTGTTAGCCATGACACCAAACAAATTAAATGAACAAACAAATTAAATGAAAAAATCTATCCCCAACAAATGTAGAATAAAGGAAAACTCAGACACATCTCAGATTTGACTGTTTTCTCCCAGTTGAGGAAATTGTTTCCTACTGAGGAAATTTGTGGTGTTTAGAGGAAGTGTTTGTTATTTCTCTTTGCATTTCAGTCATATCTGAAGCACATTTGACAACATAAAGGATTAATGAAATTTTCAAAGAAAAGAGTGCCGACATTTTTTTCAGAAACATAACATTTATCTTAAATACTACAATTTGCAGTATATTATATTAAAAAACAACTGGTTTTGCTATCTAAAATTTAGGTGGAAATTATACGATTTTAAAGGACTTAAATTTTTAATTAATCTTGATTCTACATGTGGTTGGAAACCACATCGATAAAGCACTACCACGTTCTCAAGCACCAAGCCTTCACACTGCAGATAAGAATATGTTCTTTTGAAAGACCTTCAGGAATAAAAATCCTACACCCTCCCTTGGCATGTTAAATATGGCACATAAAAGATTCACATTATGAAGAAATGTTTTCTAAATAAATCTTTGTTCAATGAGAACATTTGCATTCTGTACTTATTCACTGATATTCATGAAATTAATTTGTCCAAAGTGAAAAATCTCAATCAGAAATGCTGTCATTCATCAAGAAACAAAACCAAAGAAGCCTAAAGGTAGAGAATGCCTCCAATTAAAAAAGAAACACTTCTACTGAAAACCATTCATGTTCTCACCAATGATGGGAAACAGGATTCTATAGCCTCTAGCAAAGTCTGTGAGTTTAGATTGAAAGTTAATACAGAGAGAAATGAACAAATCAATGTCCATAGACTTTATTAAAATGCCATTTTCTCCTGTGAGAAAATGCATGTTTTATTGTACAGATGAATATATGACTTGTAAATCCAATTTTCTCAGAGCTGCCAACGTATATACATATATAGTGTGCAACATTAATATATTATTATGACCAATGTATATCCTCAATATGTTATTTAGTGTCAGCTAAATGGCTACTCTTACCAAAATACTGCTTTCCCCTGTATTTTTCATATACAATTAAAAAAAATAAGGGAAACACTAAATATGAGTTTGGAAATAATTTTTCCATTGTATCAAATACTACCACCTGAAGCAAAGTACCTTCGCTGCTATGCTCAAAAAGATAAGTAGATGTCACCATTGTTCTTTTCTTGCCGTCTTCTTCTTCTTTTTTTTTTTTCCCCTTCCCTAAGCTCACCTTGAATGTGGTGCCTGATTTAATGAAATTCTTTTCTAATACATTATCCAGGGCTGGATCCAGCTCTTCACGAATGTCCTCAATAAGAAGGGGTCGGCCCAAGGAAAGGCTGTCCTCCAAGTGTGTGCGGAAATATTTATGGTTCAGAGATGTTACCTAAAAATAAAGGGTTCATTGCTATATAAATGTGACAAAGAATGTGCTTATTCCTAAGTGGAAACCAAGAGATTTGTTGCACAGGTGCCTAAGAATTTTAAGGGTGAAATAGGAAGCCTTATGAAAACAAAAGAAAGAACACTTAATTTTACAAACGTGGTGAACCCATGACTTTGTGTAGGCTCTGGATGAGCAACAGTTTCTCTGATCGAAACAGGAGAATTGAGTGGCACATCTCAAAGTGAATGTCAGAAATCTGCTCCTACACAGAGCACAGAAGTAATCAAGGATTAAACCTGTTACACATACATATTTATGATCACTCAGGGAAAGCAAAGTAACTTGCATATTTGCAATATTCATTTATCGCCTCAGGACCACTCAAGAGATGATCAAGTGATTAAAAAATAGGCATAAGAATGTCAGAAATTATATATGGAGTCAAATCAAGGTCCCATCCATGTATTCTGCCTCTAACAGTGGCGCAACAGAAGAATATGATAGATACTTCCCATAAAATCAACTTAAAAGACTGTATATTCACTTTTTATATTATATATTTTTTTAAAAATTAGAATTCGGAATGCCTGGTGAGGACCCAGTGTTTTAGTTCAGTGTTTGTTGATTAGTTAAAATAGACACATTAGGCGGCACCTGGGTGGCTCAGTCAGTTAGGCATCTACCTTCAGCTCAGGTCATGATCTCAGGGTCCTGGGATCAAGTCCCGCATCAGACTCCTTGTTCAGCAGGGAGCCCGCTTCTCCCTCTGACCCTCCCCCCTCTTGTGTTCTCTGTCTTTCTCACTCTCTCTCTCTCTCAAATAAATAAAATCTAAAAAAAAAAAAACAGACACACAGGGCTGGTTGATCTTCGCTTTGGCCAAACAGTTTTGAACTCTTACCTCTCCTACAATCCCTCCCCTGCCTAAATGGGAGGATTTCCGAAGGGTCAGCCCTCAACTCTCCATCTCCTTACATTCTACCCTCTGGATGCCACTACTGTCTCTATGCTGCTGTGAGGGCTGATGTTAAGACACAAGGAAGATCCTGGGACAGCAGGAGATTAAAGGAGTGGAATTAAAAGATATTATCTCTCCCTTGCTATGAAAAAGAGATGTGGAAATAAAAATTAAATAAGTCTACTTTTGTCCTGTTTTGGATAGAAGGGAAATAACTAAAACAAAAATCCTGTACATGAAGGAATTTGTTTCCCTGGATGGATAGCTTTATTTACACAAATGATGAGCTGTGAAAGACCTCATTATGAGTTGATAAGGTAAATGAATCTAAACAAAGAGCTTTAACCAGCTTATTAAACAAGATGAAACAAGGTCCCAAGAGACTAAATATAATTGTCCTGCTCTGTTTCCTAAGGAGTAAATTCTATTTTCGTGATTTGCTTCCTAAGTGTGATGGTTAATATTATGTGTCAACTTGATGGGGGTAAGTGATGCCCAGAGAGCTGGTACACATTTATTTCAGTCTGTGTCTGTGAGGGTGTTTAACAGATTGGCCTTGGAATAGGTAGACTGAGTAAAGAAAATCACCCTCACCGATTTGGGTGGGCATTATCCAATCCATTGAGAGCCTGAATAGAGCCCAAAGATGGAAGAAGAGCAAATTTGCTCTCTGCTTGAGCTGTGACATCCATCTTCTCCTGCCCTTGGACATCAGCAACTGGTTCTTTGGCCTTCAGACTTGGACTGAGACTTATACCACTGACTCCACTGGTTCACAGACCTTCAGAGTTTAGACTGGGACTACATGACCAGCCTTCCTGGACCTATAGCTTGTAGACAGCAGACTGTGGGATTTCTTAGCCTCCCCAAACCCATGAGCCAATCTCTCATAATAAATCATTTTCTATATTTTTGTATTTATTTATTTATTTTTATTACTATGCTCAATTAGCCAGCATATAGTACATCATTAGTTTTTGATGTAGTGTTCAACAATTCATTGTTGTTTATATTTTTTAAGATTTTATTTTATTTTTGAGAGAGAGAGAGAGAGAGAGAGAGAGAGAGAGAGAGAGAGAGAGAGCATGAGTGGGGGGAGGGGCAGAGGGAGAAGTAGACTCCCCACTGAGCAGGGAGCCTGATGTGGGGCTCGATCCCAAGACCCTGGGATCATGACCTGAGCTGAAGGCAGACGCTTAACCAACTGAGCCACCCAGGTGCCCCTTCACTTGATTTTCTTGTATAGTAACACTATGTGGTAGCTACCATCAGAGCCTGTGTCACCTGCACAGAGACTCTAGTGTTGGGTTTTTACAGGGTGGTGAATTTTTTATAGGGAAACTTGATGAACACCTTCTCTTTCTGGAAGTCAGAGCTGAAGGTTCTGGAAATGTTACTGAAGGTGGCCTCGACAAAGCTGCCACGGTGGAATGCAGTCCTGGACATACAAAACATGTTTTGTTTTTCATTTATAAAGTGTTTCAATTTTCATTTTGTTTTCCTTCCCAAATAAAGAAATAATATTTTTGTTTTATTCTGTTTTCATTTATGGGTGTTTGTACATGTGCTTATCCACATGTTTAAAAACATAACATCTCCTGTGTAAGGAGAATATAGTTCAGTCTCCTTACATTCCAGGAGTTGATGGTTTTAAAAACATGTCAGTATCTCTGGCATATTGCTATTACTTCCTCAAGAGGATTCCTGAGACTGGGTGACATCAGGAAGGACATCATCGAAGATTATCAAGGAGTTTAATACCAAAATGGAGAGACAAAGCTATGATCAGGAAACTTAAGAGCAGGAGGAGTAGGGAGATGGAGAGTCAGCAGAAGCAAGAGGAATGGAACAGGAGATAAGCAGTAGTTGCACTGGATCCAGGAAAAGAAGCTGAGGGGCAGGAATGCTCCCATATACACCACTCATGCTTTCCTTCTGTGAAGATGGCTCCTCAGAAGCTACATTCCCATTGACTTCATTTCCCTTAACTCTCCTCCTCTGTTGACACTCTCTTTCTGGGATCTCCCTGGTTTTCCAAGTAAACAGACTGGTGCATTGTGTTCTGGAGTATCGGTGAGTTGGGAGTATCTCAGGGGTGTTCCTGAGCACCGGGCAGCAACCACATGTCAGGAAAACCCTCATCTCAGAAGGAAGTCTTTCAATATTACACCATTAAGTGGCATTTGTTGTAGGCTTTTGGTAAATGCTCTTTATCTGATTAAGGAAGAGCCCTCCTATTCTTAGTTTGCAGAGGTTTTATCAGGAATGGGTGTTGAATTTTACAAGTGCTTTCTCTGCATTTATCAAGATGATCACATGATTTTTCTATTGTTTTTTCCTTGTAATGATGGCATACTTTAATTCATTGAAATTCAAATATCAGAAATAAATATCAGAATTCCCACTCCATAGAAAAAGCAGTGCAGAAAATATAAAATGGTATAAAACCATAAGCCTTGTCAGCAAGAAGTTTATGATACAGTAAAGACAAAAGACAAATGTGCAATGAACAGTAATTGAAGACAGACCCTAAGTCCATATCAGAAATCCACATAAGACATTGTGAGCATTTAGGACAGCCTATATTAAACTGAAGACACAGGGAAGTCTTGATGAAGGTACTATTGGATGTGGACTTTGAAGAACACTCAAGATATTTATCTGGGATATAAATGAAATGGGGAGTAGGGTAAAGAAAGACATCCTGGTTAGTAAAATAGCATATGTAAAAATATGGATCCAGGAGACTTAGAACTCTGAGTACATTGCCTGGGAAATGGAACAGTCTGTGTTGGTAGTTAAAATATCGATGGTAAATCTGAGATGCTGGAATCCTGCCTTTGTCTACCTCTTCCTTAAAATTAATACTTTATTATGGGGCGCCTGGTTGGTTCAGTCAGTTAAGCATCCAACTCTTGATTTCAGCTCAGGTCATGATCTCAGGGTGGTAAGATCGAGCCCCATGCACTGGGTGTGGAGCCAGCTTAAGATATTCTCTGTCTCCCTCACCCTCTGCCCCTCCACTCCTCCCTCTCTAAGAAAAATAAATAAATAAAATTAAAAATAAAATAAACACTTTATTAGATCCCAACTCTAAAACGACTCTGCGATGCCGTGAAGTACGATGTACCTGAGCTAGGTTGGAGCAAATAGCCCTAAACCGAGGAGTCATGAGTTCTATTTTTGCTGCTTTCCTGTAAGCCCAAACCCAAGGCCCAGAATAAAAGACACATCCAACGTTGGCAAAGGCAACAGAACCAGGGAAGGGGACAAACAGAAGAGTGCATCACGAGAGAACACAAAACAAAGAAAATAATCTGAGCCCTTGCCCCAAACCACTGTTAGAAAACTCAAGGGTGGGGGCGGAGCAAGATGGC